TGTGTGTGTGTGTGTGTGTGTGTGTGTGTGTGTGTGTGTGTGTGTGTGTGTGTGTCGTGTGTGTGTGTGTGTGTGTGTGTGTGTGTGTGTGTGTGTGTGTATGTATGTGTGCTAGGAGCTGCCCTAGGCGATGTCACAAAGCTGTGTGTGACGATTAGCCGGGAATCGGTGAATAGTGTGAATGTAGCAGCGACGACACACAGCTGTATGTGCAGGAATACACCGCGAGCAGACGTGCGCTCTGAGGGAGCGTTAGAGAGCGGGACTGAGACCGTAGCAGCGGAAAGTGCACTTGATAGACAGTACTCCTGATGGACAGTACACCTGGCGGGCAGTACTCCTGACGGACAGTACACCTGGCGGGCAGCACACCTGGTGGACAGTACACCTGACGGTCAGTACTCATGTTACCGCTGCCGCACCTCAGTCAAGGACGGCATAGAAAAGTTTCCGCCTAGTGTGTGAGCCGTGCTTGTCGACAACACGCGACATATCTACATGATTGTTGAATTGCGTATATAGTGTTGATCGTATGACCGAGTAATGCAGGCAGTTCAGCATACGTACTCACGCAAGGAAAAATGTCAATGACGTTCCCATCCGCTGTTAGAGTTGATTTCGCGGCGCGCGACAGTGTAGGAGCATATAGTTCAGCCTGTATCCGCGTGTCTACCACTCATGCTGCATGTGCGGGAGTTTTCTCCCTCGGAAATGTTGCTTATTTAGACAAACCAAACCTGCAACATCACCTAGTTATAGGAAATATTAACGCAGCAATTTAACCATAAAAAAAGTTAAGAGAATCAGTTACATTTTGTGTAAAAGTAGACATGATTTTTTTACTTTTACTATTTTACGGTGACGTAATCATTTTAAATTACGTATTCCGATTGCTAACTAGGAATTTTATGTTCACGAGTGGCTGAGTCTGTTATCGCATTCATTGCGGATTTACGGCTACGAGGACAATATTATCAAGGTCGTACCAAACGCGGACTGATTACACGTATATTTATTTATCTGTACTAAATATTTTACAACAATTTTGCAACTCAACTGTGTTATAATTCCTTACATATTGTTGCGTATAGCGCATGTGCGTTGAGGTGTCAACAATTTTGTCAGTTAAAGCGGTTGACGATAGCCCATATCAATCTCGAATTATGAATATTATCATCACGGAACAGGTACGATACATAATATACGGTACATGGGTGTGTGCGTGTGTGCGTGCGTTCCTGGCTGTGTCTGTGTCTGCGTGTAAAGGAGGGGCCTAAGATAAATAGTGTCTACAAAATATAATATTTCTTTCATTCATATATTTCATTGTTGAACAATGCATATTCCGTGACACGGAACTAGACGTGTAATCAGACTAACCGTAGTCCTGAAACTTTCAAACACATTATATTTAACACTCAATGTGTTGCTTGATTCATTAATGCAATGATTGATCACAGACATTATAGCGGCGTCGAGCCTTTGTCATGCGTAAACTCTCACGATCTCTCCTTCTTCCCACTCCTCTACGTTATTCCCAAGCAGGAGCGAGATAGTCTTTCACTCCCTTCCTCAATTACAGATACACAATCTGTCTCCCGCTCTTCCGCTCTCTTTTCGCTTCCCCTCTCTCTCCTCCGCCAATCTCTCTCTCTCTCTCTCTCTCTCTCTCTCTCTCTCTCTCTGCTCTCCCTCTCTCTCTCTCTCTCTCTCTCTCTCTCTCTCTCTCTCTCTGCCTGTCTGTCTCCCCTCTCTCTCTCTCTCTCTCTCTCTCTCTCTCTCTCTCTCTCTCTCTCTCTCTCTCTCTCTCTCTCTCTGCCTGTCTGGCACACTTGGTCTGTCTGGTGCGGTCTTGCCTGCACACACATTTCTCTTATTCTCCATCGATATGTCAAAAAGTGCCAATGGAATGACGGAGTATGGAGTCTTATATTTGTAGCATAACATCGGTGAAGCATCGAGTGCCAATAAGTGGCGCTGCCCAGCGGTGACATTGCCTAACATTTCAACCGATACTGTGCAATATGAAACCAAAACAACTCAAAACATGATAGAACGTATCCGTTCGTCGATTAATAAATAAAACCAGCCTATACGAAAGTATCTTTTAGTATCTACAAGTAAAATAATCAGGTACATTCCACTTGGATAGTTCTCTGTGTGAATATTGTTCCAGTACAACATTCTGGTCTGAATGTCTATCTTAGTTATTGCGATTTGTGTGTGCAGCAAAACTCTGTACGTGATAATAAATATAGGGTTATTCATACAACGTACGCGGCATTGGAAATGAATTTTCAATGGCCTGAAATACAAATGATCTATTTCTCGCGTATTTATATTTAATATCTAAGGGTGAGAAAGTTTAATCGCCACGTTTATGAAAAGCCTTTCGCTTATAATAGACTTACTATTCTCCACGACAGTAGCGTTACCATATATGATACTAAGACGAATACAATGTTAAATATTCCACACCGATCCATCAGTGTATCGAGGGAGAGTCCACCCACACCTCCCACAATTAACACATATCCACCTCGCACTGATCATTACCTTTCCTCGCCTTGTAAAGGTCATTTATGACCTTAATATCGCCCCCTGCTATGGTGCGCATGAATTTCAAATGCGACAGTGAAGCGGCTACACTTTCTTCCTTCTCCTCCTCCTCCTCCTCCTCTTCCTCCTCCTCCTCCTTCACCACCTTCTCCTCCTTCTCGCCCTTCTTCTTTTTTCTTTTCTTATTCACTTCTTTTTCTCTTCCTTTTCTCTTCTTTCTCCTATCCTCCTCATCCTCCTCCTCTCCTCCTACTCCTCCTTCTCCTCCTCTCCCCCTCCTCCTCCTCCTTCTCCTAATACTACTACTACTACTACTACTACTACTACTACTACTACTACTACTACTACTACTACTACTACTACTACTTCCTCCACCTTAGTTACTGGCTTTCATTCGTAACGAGCTATTTATCTCACTTTCCCACAACCCTGACAATTCTCTCGGTCCTACGCCCAGCAGCAGTGCGCACTAGAGACCTCTGCCGGTGTTTTAACAAACACACATGCTTACGCGCGTCCCGGGTTTAGCAAAGCCTCGCCGAAAAGAATGTGATAAATAGATTCAGCATGAACAGCAGCTGAAAGAGCAGCACGGGCACCGCGACGAACATCTTCCAGCTGCGCACGCGCGGCGTGACATCATGCGT